AACTTACCTTTTTCCAGCGCCGGGCGGAGAGCTCTCCTCCTCCTCTCCGCCTCCGTTACGCCCCGCCGGCTGAATGCGCACGCGCGGCAAGAGCTGCGCGCGCATTCAGCCGGTCTCATAGGAAAGCATTTACAATGCTTTCCTATGGACGCTGGCGTGCTCTCACTGTGAAAATCACAGTGAGAAGCACGCAAGCGCCTCTAGTGGCTGTCAATGAGACAGCCACTAGAGGCTTTGGGGGAAGGCTTAACCCATTCATAATTATAGCAGTTTCTCTGAAACTGCTATAATTATGAAAAAATGGGTTAACCCTAGAAGGACCTGGCACCCAGACCACTTCATTAAGCTGAAGTGGTCTGGGTGCCTAGAGTGGTCCTTTAATTCAGACTAAAGAAATTCTGAGTCCCATCCTGCATCTTACAACTGTTGAGCTGATAACCCCCTAAACTGGTAAAGTTATGTTGGGTTGCCATATTTAAGGGCACCAAATTAGGGAGATGTATAGTAAATAGCTCCATTATTTATTATTCTTATGCAAATCTCACATAAGGAGACCAACACTATTAACCCCTTAACGATGGTGGGAGTTCTATGCCGTTCTTGGAGACCCTGTCCTAAACGCCGGCGGGCAGCATATAACGTCCTCGCCTTCCTTAATACTTCCCCGTTCGCCGGCAATCGCGGTGGGGGACTCACCTGGCATCCCAGGGAATCCCCCTGCTTCCGATCCAGCCCTCCTGGGCATAGCCGTCCACAGCATTGCCAGCCAGTGGACTGCCTGGAATGACAGGTAGTCCCCCTGCTGGCTGTAAAATGTAAAATATAAGTTTAAAACAGTTACAAATTAAATAACATATACTTAGATCATGTGTATATATATATATATATATATATATATATATATATATATACACACACACACACATTTAAACATACATACACTATCTAAGTTTTTTTTTTTTTATTCTTTATTTTATTCGTGCATGAATGAACAGTTAGGTCTGTCACGCCACAATAGCAATGTGAGACCGTACATGAACAATCGGTAACATGGCATAAGAAATACTGTGCACAATTTTTTGTAAAAGTAACCAACAGGTTGAAACTGGATGTGTCAGTGACTATTAATGCATAAAGGTTACTGTCGCTTTGTTGTGTAATTTGACTCTGAGTAGTTAAGTATATTAAGGTAGCATGCTATAACATTGGTTGAGACATGAGTAAGCTAGTGCATGTGGGTCAGTACATTTAGCTTGGCAGTAGTGATGTCAGGTGTTTGCTCTGTATGTGCTTATAGTGGGCTAGTGAAGACCAGATCAGATCTGGGCATGTGAGTTTATGTAGCTTGTCAGTTGAGTGGGGTGTCTGAACATACAGCTTGGCCATGGTCCTGGCCATGGTTCTGGCTTGTGAGATTTGCTTACAATTACGACAAGTAGAAAGTTATGCGTTTGGTAACAGGGAGTGTCAACTAGTAGCGTGCATTATATATCTGATTCTCTGCACTGTTTATAAATTACGTTTTAACATCAGAATACTCGTGTGGTTAGAATAAAACTAAAACTGAATCTACGTAATTATCAAGGCAGTAACAGTAAGCCGGATAGCAGAATATAAGTGATTAGTCTGGGTACAGTCTCGGACCGGTTGAATACTGTCCTCAGCCTATGCCCGTGGTAATCAGGCTGGGTGAAGATCGTGTAGCAGGGTCCTGGTCGGATCCATAGTGGTGGGTAAGCTTTTCAGGCTGTGTCATCAGGTGTGTCGTGGAATATAGGTAATATAAGACAGAGTCCCGCATTTGTGGGTCACCAAACCCCCACCTTTACCACGATGGTCTCGCTGCTAGTCCAAAGTCCAGTTATTTGACCGGTTCAAGCAAAACAATCCTCCCTGATCTTGCCTCCGGGTGTTCGTGGGGCTCTATTCATTGTGGGTACTGCCTGTACTCTTTGCATATTGCAAGCAGTTGTGTAGGCCATTCAGTCTATGTCCTGTAGGGGGAAGCTGCAGGTGTACGAGTGTCTGTCTTGGGGGTTGGTGTGGTTGGCAGGGTGGTCAGAGGTCCCCGTGGTCTTTGTGTGGTAGACCGATCGGGTGTATTGTTTGGTCCCGCTCTTGCGTGCTTGGGGGTGAGTGCTGTCGCTCGTGGGGCATGTCATCTTTTCTTGCTCCCTTGATAGTTGGCGCCGTCTCCGTCGGGAGGCCGCTCTGGTAGTTCTTGGCAGGAATCCGCACAGGTGTCGCCGGATTACCGGGCGAATCCATGCCGCTGCCATTCTCCTTGCTAGCCTGAAGGCCTGACCCCTGTCACAGAGCTTCTTCCAGATGCTTGCGCAGAGCTGGTCGAAGAAGTCCAAGGTATGTTTGGGTGGCTTGATGTGGATGCTTTGCGTCGCCATCTTGCTTGTGCTCTGACTTTGTCATCTCTCCGTAGTGTTTGTCGCTTGTTCTCGTTGCTTTGCTGGGGTGGTCGTCTCCAGTGTGGACCGGAATATCCCCCGCTGGTCCAGAAGGGGGGGTAGCAGAGTTGAAGCATGCTTGCTAGCCGGGCGATCGGCCGCCTCCCCCAGGCTTTGGGCTCCGCTCCAATTTAGGCCTCGTGGTCGGTTCTAGCACTTGTGACCTGATTTGGTGCGAGACAGGTATCCGCATGTTCCATGCAGTGTCCTGCATCGTTTTTCCGGGCACCATGTGCTGCTGACATTGTTTGGTTGTCCAAGATTATTGTTTTTGTACCCGCTGGTGCTGGAGCTTTCAGAGAGCACGTCCGGACATCTTGGCAGTCAGGCCCGGCCCACCTAAGTGTATTTTAATATTAATATATATAATTATATATATATATATATATTTATATATATATATATATATATAAAAAATGTAAATATGTAAAAAAAAAGTAAATAAAAATAATAAATAAATAATAAATATATCTGTTATTTCTTTCTAACTGTATTGTGATATTAATATATATCTGTTGATATCACAATACACGTAGAACGAAATATATATATCTATATACATCTATACATATATATCAATAAAAAAAAATTAAAAAATTTATATTATATATATATATATATATATATATATATATAGATATAGATATATATTAATTCTATGTATATATTTATGTAATATTTTTACATATTTGGTCATTTTATTAATTACAATTTGCGTGACCTGCCTGACAACCCAGGCCAAAAGTATAGGGAATTTAATTTGCTAGCACTATATTTAACCCTATAACTTTCCAAGACACCAGAAAACCTGTTTATAGGGGGTACTGTTTTACTCTGGAGACAAAAATTAGTGTTTCAAAACAGTAAACTGTATTTATAACGATGATATCGTCAGTGAAAGTGAAGCTTTTTGCATTTTTCACACACAAATGGCACTTACACTGATGATATTATTGCTGTGATACTTTTTACTGTTTTGAAACACAAATATTTGTGTTCAGCAGGGGAGGGCTGGCAGCCTTAGGTCTGGGGGGCAAAACCAGTCAAGTGGCCCATTGCACCACCAAATCAGTTCACCATCCATGCCCACCTTTTCCTGGTTTTATAATGGATATTGATGTTATGCTAATCAGTAGCTCTTTGCCATACCCACTCCTTCACGGCTCTGACTTTCAATGTTGTCAGAGCGCAGGCTGAGAATCTCTCAGTCTGTGCTCTGACTCCCTAACGGAGCGCCGGAACCACGAGGGAGAGGATATGATCTGACTGCACCTACTGCTGGTGTGCACCAGTGGACCACCAGTGAATCGTTTAAATTGAATATGCTGGTGTACCCAACTTGTGAACTGTGTTGGCCGCCGGGCGCCTCTGTTGTCATGGAACCCTGCGTGACCGCACAGCTTGCACACCCCAATGGCTGGCCCTGCTGACACACACTGATGTTACTACTTAGAAATCCCTCAATATTAATACAGACATCAGAGTAAACACCAATAAACTGTGGAAACAGAGCTGATCCCCCCAAATTTATAAAGATTTGCTTAGTGGATTTGTTGTAAGATTAAATCATGCCTCCTCCTCTCTCTCTCCCATGCGCTGCTCTGTAGGCTGGGAGGAAGTGAAGAGTAATCACATTCTCCCAGCACAGCGGAACCTGTGGCTGCATGGGGAACAGCTGTTTAATGTAATGCTTGCAGGACGTCTAGCTGCCGCAGAACCTCTTTGTTCCCGTCTTTGCAAAGGGCTCCAGGCACTGCTTGCTGTGAGTGTGAGCCACTGTAAATTAGGGGCAGAGGGCACTTGCACTGCGATAAAGACAGGTCTGGGCAGGAGGAGAGTTCAGTGCAATCAGTGCACTCCCCTCCTGTGGGTCACCAGTAGACTAGTGCACCTGCCCAGGATCAGAGCCGATGCAAGGATTTTTGCCGCCCTAGGGAAAATACAAATTTGCCGCCCCCCATGTGACTTCACAATGCCCCACCTATATGATCTGCCATATGAACTAATGCCAATGCTGCACACAGTGTGTGTTTACATTAAAAAGCCTGCAGGGACCAGCCATAGACACCAGAACCACTTCACTAAGCTGAAGTGGTTCTGTGGACTATAGTGTCCCTTTAATGTGAAGTAAATTATAGATTAGTGTCACTAATAATATACTAGATTGCCTACTTACAACCAGATGAGGATGATGATGAGCTGCAGTTTGGCTCCACTGGTCTGGTGTAGAACAGGATCTCTGAAGGCTGTTTGTAACTGTGGTCACAAAATTCAAAGTTCTAGTAGAATGGGAAGCAGCTCAATTTTTTGGGGCCCCTTAAACAGCTCAAGGTCTGGGCCCCAGGGCCTGACGGTGAGTATGTCCATAAGGCCCACCTAAAAGTCCACCTACATGTTCCACCCATGAGTTCTCTCACAGCGAGTGGAGTGTGTAGGGGATGTGTTATGTGTTATGTGTTATTGTAGAGGATCTAATGTGTGTGCTTATGGTATGTAGTGTATAGGGATACCAGTTTGTGTAGGTGATGCAGTGTATTTGTTTGTAGTGGAAGCAGTGTGTGTTTGTGTATAAGCGAAGTATTCTGTGAATCTGTGTTTGTATGCATAAGGGATGCAAGGTGTGTGTCTGTAAGTGTGTGCATGGAGTGTGTGTATGAAATGCATTGTGTTTCTGTGTATATGTAAGAGAAGCAGTGTGTGTGTTTGCATGTGTGTGTAAGGGTTTGCATCTGCATTTCTGTGTATGTGTGCAAAGGATGCATTGTCTTTGTGTGTAATGGATGCATTGTGTGTTTATCTGTGTGTAAGGGAAGCATGTTGTGTTTCTGTGTGTGTAGGGATGCATTGTGCATTTCTGTGTATGTATAGGGATGCATTGTGTGTGTGCGCGCGTAGTGTGAAAGAGCTCCCTGTCCTGCCCCCTGTCCTATAGAGCTCTCCCCTGCCCCTTAGTGGTCTCTCCTCTCCACCCCCCAACCCTAGCAGTCATTTCTCACACCCACCCAACCTCCCTGTGCTCTCCTCATCTCCCCTTCTCCCCCCTCCTCCCTGTGTTCTTCTTACTCTTCCCCCTCCTCTCTGTGTTCTTCTTAATTCCCCCGTTCTTCTTAATCCCCCCGTTTTTCTAAATTCCCCCTGTTCTTCTTAATCCCCCTGTGTTCTTCATAATCCCCCAAAGCCTCCTGTTTTTCTTAATCTCCCCACCCCCTGTTCTTCTTTCTTCTTAATCCCCCCTCCCCTGTTCTTAATCACCCCTCCTGTTCTTCTTAATCCCCACCTCCTGTTCTTCTTAATCCCCCTGTCTTAATCCCCACCCCTCCCTGTTCTTCTTAATCACCCCCTGTTCTTCTTAATCCCCACCCCTGTTCTTCTCTTAATCCCTCACCTCCTGTTCTTCTTAACTCCCCACCCCCCGCTCTTCTTAACACCCCACCCCTCCCCTTCTTCTTAATGCCCCACCCTTCCCCTTCTAATCCCCTGTTCTTCTTAATCCCCACCCCTTCCCCCTTCTTAATTCCCCACCCTCCCCCTTTCTTCTAATTCCCCACTCCCCTTCTCTTCTTAATCCCCTGTTCTTATTAATCCCACACCCTTCCCCTTCTTAATTCCCCACCCTCCCCTTCTTTTTAATCCCTTCTTCTTAATCCCCCCCCCTTCTTCTTAATCCCCTTGTTCTTCTTAATCCCATCCCTTCCCCTTCTTAATTCCTCCCACCCCTCCCCCTTCTCTTAATCTCCTCCCCCCTTTTCTTAATCCTTCCCTTCTTCTTAATTCCTCCCTCCTTTTTCTTAACCCCCCTCACCCCTTCCCCTTCTTCTTAATTCCCCCCTCTTTTTATTAATCCCCCACCTCACCTTCCCTGTAGCGTGGCCGATCTCCTCTGCTGTCCACGGTGCCCGGCCCGAGTGATAAGAAGGTGCACACTCAGTGTGCACTTCTTGTCAGTCCGGCCGGTTACAGGAAACAGAAACTCCTGTTCCGCGCGGAACACATATTTGTATTCAGCGATGTCTCATGTGTAAAACAGTACCCCCTTTGTACAGGATTTATGGTGTTTTGGGAAGTTACAGGGTCAAATATTGCATGTTACATTTTTCAGTTAGGGGACCTAAGTTAAATAAGCGGGGGGGAGGGGGAGATACCCGGGCATTTTTTTAATTAAAGTGGCCCGGTGAGGAGGAATCTTTGATATCTCCACATGCCTGTCATGGCACACACCAAAGCCAGTGCTTCGATAGAGCAGGCCCTGCATGGGCCAGCAGTGAAGATCTTCTCATCTCTCCTGTCCAGGGCCGGACTGGAGATACAAAGCAGCCCTGGAAAAAAATCTATGCCAGCCCCGCAGCCCGGCATGGGGAAAAAAAAGTGAGTAACAACACTATTTTTAAATACACACAGACACTCACATATACCACGACAGATGACAGACATACACACACGCCATGACAGACACACACACCTTGACAGACACACACATACCTTATCAGACACACACATACCATGACAGCAACACACCTTGACAGACACACACACACACACCTTGATAGACACAGACCATGACAGACAGACACACCATGACACAGACAGACACACATCATGACAGACAGACACACACACTCACACTGACAGACTGACACATGATATAGCTACCTGTGGGCGACCGGCCCGGAAGTCGTGCAGGGCAGACAGCTGGGTCAGGTGTGCTGGCGGCCGCAGCGGGGAGCTGGCTCCTGGCTATTCTGGCGGCCGCATGGGGGGCTGGCTGTGCTGTCTCTGCTCCCCAGTGCGCAGCTTAATGAGACCGGGGCCAGAATACCGGGGTGAGGGAGCAGAGCCAACACAGCCAGCTCCTCTCTGCGGCCGCCAGCACAGAAATTTCCCAGTATCTCGGTGGGCCAATCTGGCCCTGCCCCTGTCAGCCTCAGCCCATAGCCATCGCTGCCAACAGTCATTTGCCCGGTCTGCCTGATGGCCAGACCAGGCCTGGTGGTGGTTTAAATAATAACAGGAGAAGGAACCTATTTCAACACACAGATCCCACCAACTGGCAGAGTGTGATTGGTCTAAATATAATAACAGGGACCTGTTGTCCACTTCATCCCCCATGCACTGCCGGAGTGTGGTAGGTTCTAAATAAAAAATGTAGGAGACACCTTTTGTCCACCTCCAGTCCTTACCTCTTGATGACAGGTGGGGCTCTAAATATAATAACAAGAGAGGACTTAATGTCTCCCAAAACCCCCACCCTTTGGCACCAGGCCACTATTTTGCAAGGTCGGACAACAGTATGTTCACCCCCTTTGTATATTTTATTACTAACACACATGCCGCCAGGTCGTCTGCCAGGTACCCCGTTTTGAGACAGACATGTCTCTATCTGTGGGATGGCGGCTGGGGGCATGAGGAAGTCCCATCCTTTGGGCAGAGGTGTCTCTATCTGTGGGATGGTGGATGGAGGCCTGAGGAAGGATTTCAATCTCCCTTTTTAGTAATATGCGGATCCATTACCTATGGCGTTTGTAATCAAATTACAAGGAGGGAGTCGGTAACTTGCAATTAAAGAAATAAACAAATGATTGAATTATTTGAACAAAATTTAATTCAGCAAGCAATTCAGTCTTCATTTATTTTGTTGCGCTTTACATTTCACCGTTCATCTTTTGAATGCTCAAGTTTAATGGAGAAATGAGGTATGTATCGAAAGTGGCACAGCAGTTTCAAACAAAAAATTTTGTTTGAGCTAATATACGATTTCATTTGCACCAATGAATATAAAATAGGTACTACTTTTTTTAATGACAAAAAACTTCCACAGTCAGAGAGGTGGATTTTCTGAAACGGGTTTTCCTTCATTTGCTAGTTTGTGGAGGTTGAGCTCAGGGCCGGACTGGCCCACCGGGATACCAGGAAATTTCCCGGTGGGCCGTCGGCACCTGGGGCCGGACAGAGAGCTGGCTGACCTGCGGCCGTAGGGGGAGCTGGCTGTTCCGGCGGCCGCAGGGGGGAGCTGGCTGTGCTGGCTCTTCTCCTCCGAGCGCGCTACTTAATGAGACCAGGGCCGGAATATTCGGGATCATTAAGCTGTGCGCTGGGGAGCAGAGCCAACACAGCCAGCTCCCCCCCTATGGCCGCCAGAACAGCTAAGAGCCAGCTCCCCCCTGTGGCCGCCGCAATAGCTCCCCCCTGCGGCTGATCCAGCTGTCTGCCCTGCAAGACTCCTGTCCGATCGCCCACAGGTAGCTATATTATGTGTCAGTCCGTCAGTGTGTGTGTGTCTGTGTATGTGTCATGGTGTGTGTGTATGTCTATGTCTGTGTCTGTCTGTCATGGTGTGTGTCTGTCATGGTGTGTCTGTCTGTCTGTCATGGTGTATGTTTGTGTCATGGTGTGTGTGTGTGTGTCTCTGCCAAGGTGTGTGTGTCTGTCATGTTGTGTGTGTGTGTGTGACTATCGTGGTGTGTGTCTGTTAAGAAATGTGTGTGTCTGTTAAGGTGTGTGTCTGTGTCATGGTGTGTGTGTGTGTGTGTGTCTGTCTGTGTCAAGGTGTATGTGTCATTGTCTGTCTGTGTCATGGTGTGTGTCTGCCAAGATGTGTGTGTGTCTGTCAAGGTGTGTGTGTGTGTCTGTCAAGGTGTGTGTGTAAATATAAAAAGAAAAGGAATATATATCAAAACCACATAAAATAGAATCAGCCCAAAAACAAGTGGTGAAGAACAACCATAAAATACAACCTGTACGTTGAAGTATGGCAGAGTTATCTACAAAATATAAATACAGAACATAACATAGTGTATACTGTATATTACAAATGTATATAGAAAAAAGAGATGGACAACCACTCACATTTACCAGAGCCGTACCAGGCTCTGTATAGCAGGCTCACAGGTGCCAATTCAGGCTAACAGGATTCCGGATAATGAATGAAGAAAATTCCGTAGTAAAAAAGGATATTTATTTATAAAAAATAATAATAAACAAACTCCTGGTTTTGAGGGGGTGGAACCCAATAACAGATAATATGTATAAAAAAGGTATCCACTTACCCTAACCAAAGTAACCAATGGAGTAGTATAAGAAAATTTAAAAATTGCAATACAAATAGTAAATAGCCACAATCAATAGCAGCAAACGCGTTTCGGCTTGGTAGCCTTCTTCCAGTGCTG